GTTACGCGTAGCAGCACTTTGGATAACCAATAACCTCATCAGAGTTGTGTGTAAACAGAATAAAATTGGTACTGTGGAAAGCCTTTAATAATTGCCTGCAGCTCCTTGAAACTCCTTAATGTTCAATTAGTCATCTCCTGCCTCTAGTCTGCACAGCGTGGCTTCTTTTGAGTAGCAGTTGTCTCAAACACCTGACTAAGATTTCACCGGTAGAGATGTAACAAGGAGCAACAGCGATGACCTGGATGGTTTTTAACTACATTCATCAAATTTATCATGGTGCTCCTTCAGGTCACAGAGTAGACTGGGCATTTTTTCCAGTCCATTTTTTCCAGAATTGGGTGCATGTATGCACATTTTTATGTACTGAACAGTCATAGGAGTTAGGGAAAAAAAAGATGTGGTTTAGCCCACCCTAGTTCACAAAGCAAATTTAGAGGACCTCTGACCACCTATTTATTGTAGGCTTTGGGAAGAACAAGTCCATGTTAAAAGAATATTACTAAAGTTACAAGAAAGTTAGGAAATTCCAGAAACAGCCTGCTTATTCAACCTGAAGTGGCATATATATTATTATAGATGGATAGATGGATGGATAGATAGATAGATACAGCTGTGTATGATAGATTGTGTACGATACAGATTAGACCAGCCCTAAAAACTGCAGCGGTACGTCATGTCTTCAGACTTAGCATGGGTCTAAATTAAAATGTCTGAAATCACACGGTGCTGGACAGACCACTGCTGTTCAGGAGCTCTGTTTTCAGATAGTATTCTAGATAAGATCAAATGTGATTGTACAGCAACGCTGATATTAAAAGCTCTGGCAATGGAAAAGCTCTAAAAAAATTTACTGTTTGATCCCAAAAGGGGGGGTATTTTAATAAAGCGGGCTGACAAAAATGTTAAAGGGAAAGTAAGTTTTTCATTCGTAATTTGAAAATGCAAAGCCAGGTGGAACAGCACTGCCTCGTAGTATTCTCACTCCCTGGGTGAAAGCTGGATGCAGCAGAAGGTTTCCATCTGCGGTGGTTTTGTTGGCTCTGAGCTGTGACCCTGTATCCAAGGCAACTGTTTCTGGATGTTAGGTGGTTAGGAGCTATAGAATAAATGAGAGGCAGTTGTGGAATATACACGTATGACTCCATCAGGGGCAATAATGATAAAATGCTAACAGGTGGAAAAGGGGTCGAAGGGAGCACCAGAACCCAAATGTGGAATTTTAGTCTCAAAATTCGGAATATGATAGTGTCTTCCTTGATGTTAATTGGTAAAGACCAACCAAGACTATGAAAGCCATGAACTAAAGCAAGTGTAGAACAGATATGAAACAAATTTGGTTGCCCCTAGTTTATCTGCCTGTGTTCCATAACCCGCATCTCTTTGGGACCAGCCCTGTAGGAGCTTAGTTTTTATGTTGCAAGAACTTCTTTCCTCTGGAAGCAGCATTCTGGTTATAGGGGGGGGGGTTGTTTATTTCTGAGAAATCATTTGTTTAAAAAGTTATATTCAACAATTTTAGTTTCTTTTGATTCCTTTAAATGCAACTGCATTATTAAGAGGTGATAGAGGTGATGCTACTCTCATGATCAAAGTGCACTTACAGTGTGGGATTTAAAATGATTGCTCAGTTGTGCTGACTTGCTGTATGAGCCAAGTCCCGTGGCAGGATGCCTCTGTAAGAAGAGCTGAGGGCCTGGCTGCAAGAAACAGGGGCACACGATGCCACGGTAAGGGCTGGAAGATTTTCTTGTGTTCAGCTTCCAAGGTGACCAAAACTTTGCTCCATCTCTGCTTAAATATGTCTTTCCTGGACAACTGCCAACCCCTTTAATCTCAAAATACAGTAAGACAAGGTCATCGCCAAACCAACTGGCCTGAGAGGAGAGCTCACAGGTACTAAAGCCGCTATTCCTTCTTATTTTCTGGCACCAACCATCTCTTTTACCCATACGAAAATGGGTAACAGAAAGGGAGTGCAACGAGAAGTGTATCACAAGGCACGTAGGTCTTCACAAGTTTGTCCAGTTGCAGCACCTCTTGCATCCGTCACCAGCTGAAGCAAATTAAAAGTCCAGATGAGCAGAACAGTAGCTACAAAACCTCTTATGCAAGTCAGGATGAGATACTTATTAATTGCTAGCACTTACCCATGAGAGGCTGGTGCAGGCTAAGTGTTATCTTGAGTGTTTTTATTGACTCAGCTCTACTAATTCTGTTTGTTTGGTGAGAAGTATCAAACAGCTGAAATTAATGCTGCCATAGATCTTGTATCTGAAGTGGTAGGTCAGAGTGGGGCAGAATTGGCATGAGGGAGGTTGAAATACTGTGTCTGAGCCACACAAAGTCAACCCCAAGGTACCTGTGCAACAGGGCCATGAAAAATGCAAAGCACTGCTGTGCTTCTTTCCTTGTACTGTCTCAGAAGCACAGGCAGTTCCGGATTAATTCATTTCACCAGGTGTCATGATGTAGTTAGCCTTGAGCAGGGGCTGAGCTCAGACGTGTTGTACGGAACACACCAGGACTAAACCCTCGTGGTCCAGGTGGTGCCGAAGGGACGAACACAGCGAAGGAAGACCCTGCACAAAGAGTACCTGAGCATGCTTCTGTCTGCCAGCTGTTACCCTGAAGTTACTATGTCTGCCTGCTCTTACTTTTTGCCTGTTTTATGTAAGTCTTAGCACTCTCATTGCCATGATGGGTCCTTTCACCTTGCATAGCTACATACTGAATTTTGGTAACATTATGCTTCAGAAAATCTTGCTTAAACAAATCGCATCAAAAGTATAAAACTTCACCACCTCTCATGAATGATTACCAGAAAATACTAAAAAGCTTCAGCGCATTTACAACTTGATCCAAACCGTCACTATCTCTCTTTTTTTTTTTTTTAATTAATAAATGAGTCTAGCCATATGTGTGACAATAAACCCATTTATTTTGATGGTGATGTTCACATGCTTGCTGTGAAGCACATGTTTAAATGCTTTGCTGACGAGGCATGGGCGAACAGATGCCTTCTCCATAACGAGCTGGCCGGGTATCCCTAGCTGGCAACCGCAACAGGCTCCTCGGGCTTCTTCTGGGAACCAGACACTAGTGGATATTCATCATCAAATGAGAAGGCTCCCGCAAGCAGCCAGCCTGGCCCACATAACAGCTTCACCCCACAGAGGAGGGGGAACTGAGAGGAGCTTCCCATTCCCCCCGTGTTAAGCCTGGGACCCCAAGGCAGGCTTGGTGAGATCTGCTCGGAGGTGGTTGTCTAGCAGGACAAAATGGAGGGGCTGTAGGTCCGGAAAACAGAATCCAATGTCCCCTTTGGTAATTTTTTATTTTCTGGTAATACTGTGCAAGTTTTTCACTGTTTTACAGAAAAGACTCTTTCTGCTGTGCAGATACTGATGATGCAGTACAGTCTCAATTGCTGTCATACAGCTGTTTCCAAGCGTGCCAAATCTGGTGTGAAAGTAGGACCACCTCTTTCCTCCTGCACCTTCATGTCATTGAAAAGATCTTTCCAAGTTTACCTGTCATGAGCATTTACATTCTTTTATCAACAAACGCAAAATTCTGTATCAATGAAGTGTAAAGGTAGCACAAGTAAATTACCCAGAAAAATACAGCCATTACAAAAATAAATGACTAGATTTCAAGCAGCACTCTCAACTCATTACACATGGGGAATATTTTTCTATTGCTGTTTAAAGGTACGTCATGATAATAAACTGGATTTAATGATTTCATTATGCTCTAAGCTAAAACTAGCTCCTTTTTTTCCCACAACTTTCATTGATGTGGTCTGATGTTGATATTTACCTCCCCGAATATGTTACTTGCTCAGCATTTTCATGGAACAGTAAGGTAAAGAAATTTCAGCATGTGGATTTTTCACAAACCATTAATTTAGATTAGATGTGGTTATTTATTCATGGAACATGAGCAGTCACCTCAATCCCATCAGCGCGCTTTTTGACTAAACCACTGAGCATTTTTAGGCGGAAGAATAGCAGAACGAGGGATATACCTACAGAATTGAGTTTCCTGAGATAGTATGAGAAATATATTTAAGTCTTTTTCATAAAATAACTGGTATCAGCAAATAACGTGGAACAAACTTATTGTATTTATTTGTATGCAAATTTGAGATTGCTTTTGCTGTTGTTTAAGCATCTATAGCTACAAGGCATTACTGCTTATATATAAAATTATGTGTATGAGTAACATCAAAAGACAATTCTTGTAAAGAAGAGGTGAATTAATAATGCTGCTGGATCTTTCCAGAGTTTGTATACACTGATTTTTCTATTTAACTGCATGGCAGTGTTTTTGCCTGCTGTAATTTTCAGTCTGCAAGACCCCAGCGCTCCCGCTCTGCCAGGCGACTTTGCAAGTGGGGGTATCTCACCCATGACTTAAAATGGGGTGATGGCTTTTCCTTCATTCTATGATTATATCAGGTGGACCAGTCACAGGTGGGATTTGGTTAAGACCAACCACTGTTATTTTTAAAACAATATTTGATCTTTGGGAGGTGATTGGTTGCTTTTTTTTCTGTTACACAGCCTGAAACCTTCTGTCTCCTCAGCGGGAGTGGTATTACCAGCCCTTGATAACAGTGACGTTACGCTGGGTTGCAGCTTCCCAATAGAGAGCTTAAACTTTCCGTCAGGCCTTGCTGGCTCACGCGCGTGGGAGCAGGGAAATGGCCTCTTCACCTCCTCTCATCTTGAGGTGGTTTGGGCTCAGGAATGCTTCCACCTGCATTTACAGAGTGGTGTTTCTCTGTTAATATCATCGTTCATCTCGGCAAGGATTTCTTGTTCTCTCTTTGAGTTTTGGTCATCTTGTTGAGCTTTCTGGTGCCTTCTTCATTCTTTACAAAACTCAGTTTCATGTTGGCCTAAGCTGACTTAAAGGTAGCACTCCTTCTTTTGTCCAGTGAGATGGGACCTTTTGTTAAGTTACGTACATCCTGAGCTTACGCATGAAAAACCATGTCATTAACGTTACTCGTTTATCTCCACACCTTAGGTTTTGGGATGACCACACCAGCAACCGTGGCTGGAAAAGTATTCCTCATCGTTTATGGCCTTTTTGGGTGTGCCGGGACTATCCTTTTCTTCAACCTCTTCTTGGAGCGCATTATCTCTCTCCTGGCGTTTATCATGAAGGCGTGCCATGAGAGACAGCTGCGAAGAAGTGGTCTCCTACCTCCCAACTTCCGAAGGGGGCCAGCTATGGCGGGGGTGGGCAGCCTCGTGGGGTGGAAGCCGTCCGTTTACCATGTGATGCTGATTCTGGGAATTTTTGCTATTACCCTTTCCTGCTGCGCCTCTGCGATGTACACAGCAGTGGAAGGATGGAATTACGTTGACTCCTTGTACTATTGCTTTGTCACCTTCAGCACCATCGGTTTTGGAGATTTGGTAAGCAGCCAGAATGCTGCGTACCAAAATCAGGGATTATACAGATTTGGAAACTTCATATTTATATTAATGGGGGTATGTTGCATATACTCTCTTTTTAATGTCATCTCAATCGTAATCAAGCAAGTTTTGAACTGGGTGTTGAAAAAATTCGAATGCAGATGTTGCCCAAAGTGCCATAAATCAAGTGCCCGCCTCGGACGTCGCAACGCCATCACCCCAGGAGCCCGCCTACGTCGACATAACATCTCTATGGACGCTGATGGACAGTACGACAGCGACACCGAGGGAAGGAGGCTCTCTGGAGAGATGATCTCCATGAGGGAGCTCACAGCATCGAATAAAGTCTCCCTGGCCATTTTGCAAAAGCAGTTGTCTGAGACAGCCAACGGCTACCCAAGGAACGTTTGTATCAATACAAGACAAAATGGTTTCTCCGCAGGGGTGGGTGCTCTAGCCATCATGAACAACCGCTTGGCAGAAACGAGTGATTCTAGGTAGAGTTTTTGAAATTCCTTTTGTTTCTTTAATAAAAATCAAATGGTGATTAGGGTGGAATTATCACTGTAAAATACTGGAAAGTTTTAAATTCAGAGTCGGCGTCAGTATTCACTGGGTGTTCAGCATTTTAGTTTCTGGGGGTTTTATAAGTCTTCTCTAATATGCAGTAACACCTTTACTGAAATGTTATAATTTTCCCCAAAGGGTTATTTTTGGAAGAGACTTGGATGTCTTTGGTGCAGAATCTGATGCAATTCTAGAAGAAGGGTGTGCATGATTATGATGGTGTCAAAACCAACATGTTTGTCTTCAGAACATAGCCTGAACCCAAATTCTGGGTTGAAATGCATAAAATGGGCAAGTTTGGCTCCAGTTTCAAACTTGGGGGTGATAAGGTTTGTTGAAGTCTGGATCTGGCCCTGAACTTTGTACTCGATGCTCTTCAGCAGTTCCTCGTAGCAGGCCTGTATATAACATACACATAGATGGCTGCAGTCGCCAGCTTTAGGGTGACTGCTTCACTTGAATAATCCTACTGACTTCAGTGGTAGAGGATCAAATGGGTGGAATTCCCCTGACTGTAAATGTTGTTTTTTAGCCAGTCTTGTCTGAAACACTACCTGCTCCTAAGTCGTAACAAGTCAAGGGATTATCAAGAACCATGTTGAAATGTGCAAAACCTGCTGAATTACTGAAAACAGGCAATTGTCAACTTTGGTACTGACTTCATTTAATGCAGGAGAAGCCAGTACACACCTCTGGTGTCAAATGTTTGTATCACCACTGAAATGCTTATTTCATTACTTTTACATGAAAATAAGCAGCTAAAATCAATGTAGGCTCTCTGTTGTCCTGAATTTGCATCTTTTACTTCTGCAATATTGTTGCAGAGATTCATGCAGATGATTTCTTTGCAGTTTTTGGGGGGACCCAATCCTGTACTTGTTTCCCACGAACCTGATTGTGAAGGTTATACAGAAGAGCATTGCTTTGGAGCTCCCCCAGAAGCTGGCTTCCCCCAGAACGTTGGTACTAAGTCATAAATTGGCCTAAGGCTGTAGCTACTGTCTTAAGTCATATATAACCTGTGCTAGCCCAAACCACTGAAGAACCAGAAGCATCTTCAAGCAAACCTGATCTAAGTGTCTAGTTTAGCATGACAAATGGGTGCATAGGAGTTACTGTAAATGTGCAAAGCGCTGGATCATTTCTCTAAATTCTCTATACTATGCCACTCCTTTAATGCTGTGAAGGTAATAAAAAGACTTCTGCTGATTCCAGCAAAAAATAAAACTTAAGCATGAAGTCTGAGAAGCCACAATGGTCAGCTCTTGAAAACAACTTGGGTAATTATAGGCAAGATCATGACTACTATGTTGATCGCTGAATAAATTGAAAAAGCTGATGAAAACCAACTAGGAATATTAGAAATGTTTGACAATATTTCCATGAAGTTTCATATAGATATTTTACTTTGTTGGTTATTTACTTTACTTTATTTTGCATGGGTTTGGGGTATCCATCAGTTTGCTCTCCTTCAAATTTGTAGTAGTGCGAAACGTTTTGGAATTTAACCTCAGAAAACTAACTTTTAGTTTGAGGTTTTGCACACTTGAACCTGCCAGCTGGAGTATGGCAGGGATTGTATCTGTTGCCTGAAGGAGAAGGAACCAGAGCAGCAGATAAATCATCACACATGGCTCTGTATCATACTATAAACGTAGTCACAGATTTATCAAGATGTGTTTGGCCAGAAACACTCGATGGTGTTTGTGTTCTGTATCTACCTGATACGGACTCATGCTTAAGATTACGTGGTGTGGCAGAGACTGCATGCAAGAGGCGTTCATCTGGCAGGAGCTTCCCTGGTGGCAGAGAGACCCGCTAAGGTCCATGTGTCCGTGTGCCTGTCTGTCTGTGCCCTCCATCTCCGATGCTATGTTTGAGTGGCCCTTTGAAGAAGCAGAGAGAGGTCAAAGTGTTTGTTGATCCTAATTTGAAGCCCACTGAAGGATAGATTTAAGCAGGATGTGTAGGGGCAGGTCATGGTCTGGGAAAGACTCAAAGACCGACTGCAAAGACCCAGTTCAGGAAGGTGACTTCCAGAGCTGCAGGGACCATTTTTGGAACCAGCAGAGGCAGGGAACCAAACGAACAAAAATTTGTTCTTTTCCCAGGAGTAAATCTCTTTAACTATGACAATTTATGTGTTTGTTTATTAAGAATGTGTATGGGGCACTGCTCTTTTTTTTGCAGGTAGACCTCTCTTAGGGTTGTATCCTGGTACATTTGCCATCATGGGGACTATTGCTCATGAGAACAGACCCTGCTGTGTGAAGTGCTGCATAAATCGAGGCAGACAGGCTCTGTCCCAAAGGTCTTAAGAACTTGAATAGATAGGATCCCCAGCTACAGCAGAATTACTTAGGTTTATCACTTTACTCATAAAAACATGTTCAAATGCATTAACATTCAGTGAGCTCAAGAACTATATTTTTATGGTAACAAATTTTCAAATTAAGGGCTTTTATTTTTTCAGTAAGTTGTTTTTAAAGGATAAATATTATAACTATGATTAGGGACCTGTTTAAATCTTTGTAAATTGTTTTCAAACTACCTATTCCTGCCTGGGAAATATGAAGTAATATGAAATTGCACATACCTCCTCTACTGTTTCTGTACTTTTTCTGAGTCCAGTCAAAGGCAGACATGCAGCCTGTTGTAATATGATTTAAATGTTTCTGAGTCTTTTTGGTACCATTGGTCACAGTGGTGCCATTGCAGGACCCTTTGCAGTTCCTATTGACTTCAGTTGGATTGGCTCCCAGAGCTGGGTTCCCCAAGGGATTTGGGCATCTGATCGCTACTCTATGCACTTGGGCCTAATGTTTCTTTACTCCCAAGATCCTTGCTAAACTCCATTCTGCTTCTCCTTAGCCTCAGAGACACATAAAGTACATGCCCATTTTTCTACCAGTGCTCCTATTTCTTGCAGCGCGCATATCCCCAGAAGCTGACACAGCTCAACCACAGAGCCCCCCAGCTCATACCTAAGCGCCATAAAAAAATCCCCAACCCCATCTGGCTCAGCAAGGCCAGTTTACAAGAGGATTCAGAGCACGATTACTGAACTGGGTCTCACAAGGAGTGGCCTTGCAGTTCCCTCAAACTCAGCCAAAGTATTTTTCAAGGATGCATGAGAACAAAGCTCCAAATCTCTACTCTTCTGCCTGCTAGCACTACCCGTGTAGCCATCACCCATGTGCATGAGTACATGAGCCAAGAGAACGTAGGAGATCAGTCTTTCCTAGTCCTTCCTGCTCTTTCTTTAGCTTTTTTAATGACAACTTCTCTTCAAACTTGCCAGACTTGGGCACCTCACTCCTCTCTTTTAATTGTGCATGGTCCAACTCGGGATTCCCCAGGGCAGCCTGCTACTTTTGTGAATGAAAGCCTAAGCAGGAACCAGTTGCACCAAGTGCAATTCCTCCTAGTGTTTGATTTTTCACAGACAAAGCAGATACCTGCAGTGTCTGGACACAGGCTGAAGCACAAGAAATCAGAAGGGAACTGCAGGACCACAGTGGGACAATGAAAGCACACTGCACTGGATTGCACTTTTCAGGTAACTTGGGAGCTGTATTACCTTCTTGAAATGTTTTTTTTTTTCCAGGTTTTATTTTTGGACAGCCTTGAAAGAATGCAATTAACTTATTATTCAAAGGTTCATCTTCCCTGATACAACCCCTTCTGCACCAGCCTGCAAAACAGCAGCAGTGACTTATAGCTGGCAACAGAGCCAGATGTCCCAGCTGCCTGCTGAGCAGCCGTACAGGCGGCACAGACGGGAGCTACCTCGTGCCCCAAATTGGTCTTTTGCTGTCTGAGCCTGAGAGGTGCGTTCAGGAGCAGCAGAAAGCTACAGGACTTAGGCTTTCTCTGTCCCTAGTGAGAGTAATGATCGCATAGGCATGATCTGCTAAGGCCTCCAGCACGAAGGGAGGAGGTACCGTGTTCACCTGGCCCATGTGCTAATACCTTGCAGATGAGAATTAAAATTTCAGTGATAATTAATAAGGGACAATGACTAAATTCAAGCAATGTCTTCTCTTTCCCCTGGAGCTCAGGGCAGAACTGTTACAAGGACCAGTTTGTGAAACCTGTAGTGTTCGACAAGTAACTACATTTACTTCTGGGGGTTTGTCTTTCCTGTATGTGTCTCAGACAAAGTTTGGAGTCACACTGAAATGTCATCCGATAGTCTTTGATTTCTTCCCATCTGCAAACACACTTCTAATATTATGCAAAGAATTCAGGTCACTTTTTTATTTCCTTGCATTGCAAAGGATGTCCTTCAGACGATAGAGATGTTCAAAGTAATCTCATCGACCTCAGTCACAGATGGAAGTTTCTGAAGGACGAGGCTGTAGTTTGCCTGTCTCCCTGCAGAGGAGGCATCGCACAAGGAGCTCCCATTACTGCTAGCAAGATGTACAAAGATACCTTAGGCAGCGGTTGGGGCCATGCAGCAGTAGGCACAACTAAAAATGGCAAGAAGGTCTGTTATAAAGGGTATTTGTACTTATATGACATGTACGTGCTAATTGATAACCCAATTGCCAGCTCTAATTGCAGCAAAAATACCTGGTGGAAGACAGGAGAGGTATAAGAGTTATGGTGAGCGCCCCATGCCATGCTTGGGTTACCCCAAGACGCACTGCGATGCTGCCTGTCGGCGCAGCGCTGGCGTCCCAGCAGGGCTTCACCCTGGCCCTTGCTTTGTCTCCTCCCCAGCTTTCTGTGGGTGAAAACTTGGGCGTATTACGAGCATTCACCTGTATTTCAGTCCCGTCTTGACTTGTTGCTGAAAGGAGGACCTGAGCAGCAATGGAGGCCATATCGCCAGGCGTGCGGGCTCGGTACAAACATGATTGCCTGTGTGGGATGAATTTCTAATTATATGGAAATTAGCTGTAGCCATGAGACCGTTCTTACTTTTT